GATACAAAATATTGTATTATGAATGTTATTGTTACTTTTATCTCTTAAGTAATCTGGAAGTAAAAAAGTAAAATTCTTTTTGTATTATGAATCCATTCACTTCACTTTGTCTATATGTTTATATGGCTGGAAAACCTTTGAAATGCTATTCTGCTTGATATGTGAAAAAAAAAAAGTTATTTTACTTTTTAAATTGTGTTCAAAGTTACTTTTGATAATAGCTATTACTCTCCTTATAACTAAAACTCTTAAGTCTATATTTCTGAGATGAGGTATTATGTACAGTATTTACATTAGTCGGACTATTGTCCTCATCTTTGTCGCCATATTTGTCACAACATTTCGGCCGTTGTACGCTCCGGCCTTCTTCAGGTGGTTGGAATTTCGAACTGAACCCTTTATTTCGATCACTGGGGTAGACTGTTCTAGTTCCATGTGCCATGTTTGATGGATGTCAGTTATCAGTTATCTCCTGCTAATTTTCCCTCTGAAAGTTCTCCACTGCCTTAACCAGGAATTGAACTCACCTTCTTTGGGTCTGTCACTGGATCTAACCAACGCCTTTATCCACTGTGCCATGTGTCCTTGAAACGTTGTGACAAATATGGCGACAAAGATGAGGACAATAGTCCGACTAATGTAAATACTGTAAAACTCTTAAATATTGACAAAACCCTTTCCTTCTTCTGTTTGAAAATCCAAGACCACTTTTGTAGTCAAAGAACTGCATTAGAATTCTGAGAAACTTTGGGGTCTTTTTTCTAAGTAATTGATCTATTTTTGATTGTTTTGATTTGGATTCTTGCATGAGTTGAATTATGTCGACAAGTAGAAAATGTAGGCTTCTTGTTAAAGCATGAAATGATTGATATGCATAAAAAGTATTGACATTGAGAATTAGAACAATTTTCTCAGTTCTGTTTTCTAAAATCTTAATGAAACTCTTTAACCATTCTTATCAGTGTTGATGCTGGGTGTATTGCTTCACATTCCTTGCTGTCATGAGAACAAGTGCAACAGAACAAATTTTGTTTCTCCTTTAAAACTAACTGTGCAGATCATGACTTGCAGTTTTATTTATTCTACTCACTTGTAATGGGAGTGGAAGAACAAAATAAATAAACAAGCTTAAGAACAGGAAAGCATATAACAAAAAAAAAAAAAAACAAACAAAAAAAACAAAAATATCCTTGATTGATTTTATTGTGCATATAAAACATTACTAAATTGCCAGAAAGAATAGAAAATTCTTTGGACCAGGGTGGCTAATGTGGGTCATAAAATAATGGCAATCATGTTTCTTTCTATTCTGACCTATTTGCTCTCTCTACATTTATTAGAAAAATAATTTGCAGCTATTTTTTAATGTACTTTTCTTTTCAAATCTCTCTCTCTTACTTTCACTGTTCACATAACTTGACCTACTCATTGTCTAATTAGACTGTTTCACAAATGGACAAACTTTATTATTTTCTATATACAGATGGGAGGATTTCTCTATTTGACTACATAGTTTCATCTTTTCAAGAAACAAAAACTAGTTTTTTTTTTATTTAAATGGTAATAGCTTTTAATGAAAAGCTAAGAAAACATTTATTTGTACTTGAAGTGACCAAACTGGAGAGAAGTAAAAGAAAAAAGGTAATTTATGCATCAAACTAATTAGTGTTAGATAAACATATTTTACTTGTAATTATTTAAAAATATTTTTACAATCTTGGTTCGGTCATATTAGGTATACTTCTCTCTCTCACCCTATGGAAATTTCTATATCAAGATATAGGTAAGTACATCAATAAGTCTGTAGCCTAATGATGAATTAAGCATTTATTTTACATTACAAATATATTTAACATAATCTCCTTTGTTAATGCACTTAATTCAGCATTGAAATATAATCATATAGTTAAAAAAAATTATACAGTGAGCATTTCAGATCAAAATTCAGCAAATAACTACAAGTCAGGCTGCAAATTTATTGATGCCCCCTTGTATATGTGATATTTGACAAATTGTTTGATACAAAAGACTATTATGAAGCCACAGTGTCTCCCTCACTTGCAACCGAGACAAGTCAGATGTATGTATTTTGTTTCACGAATGTTTAATAAAGTTATCTCCCTTTATTCCATATATTTTTGAGACTATCATCTTCAACTTTGTTCTCATTTTTACTTTTTTATCCGATTGAAATAAAGAGTGCTCTTCCAATTTTACTTGTTCTCATGTTAGCAATGTATAAAACAGTTTTAACATACATTTGAAGAAGACTAAAGAATTGTATTAAAAACAACAAAGTTGAAAATAATAGTTTTTTTTCCATTTGCTTTGCTATCTATTAAATAGTGACTTTCTTTGAACTACTTTTTTGTCATATTGTCAATTTTTGTCATTTTGACAGTGCCTATCGTGTCTACCAACCTTAAATGATCTGCTGCTTATTTTAGTTTATCAATTTTCATGGCTGTGTCAAGCTGTATTTGTAGTTTATTTTCTTGTTTGAAAAGTAAGTTTACTTTTTGGAATTGTAGTGAATGAACAGTGAAGATTTTGTGAGCCTCAAATGTTTTCTTTCATGCTTGTCAATTTAGGACAAGTACATAACCCTTTTTTAATAAATTTTTTAATTTAATTTTTGGTTTAGGCTTTTTTTTAGTCTGGAAAGAGGAGCTTCATCCTGATTCCTATAAACAAATCTATTGATTGTCTTTGATTTCTGGAAATCACAATTCAGTAAAATTGTTTTGTGTTTTATATAGTAAATACTTTTGCCTAATAGATTTGTAGAAATATTTACAACTGTTAGCAGATCTTATAAAGTACGTTAATAGACTGGCCATTGCTGGAAGAAAAAAAAATCTTGTTCAACACCTGGATACCTGTTCTTTCCTTAACCTTATTCAATCAGCCTGTATGAATAAAGAAGGATGTCATTATAAGCTTCAACAATCATATCAACTACTGGATTTCATATTTTACTAATACATAAATGAATTGGCCATTGGTAGATGTGTAAGTTAAAAAGAAAGACTTGATGGTGGTTAGTAATTTTTTTCCACTTTTCCCAAATATTGGAGTTAATACAGGAATTTAACTGGTAGTCTTTTACACTTGTATTTTCAACCCATTTTGATTTAAGGCACAAATTAAACAAAATAGTTTATTAATTTTTATGGTAATGGTTAATTAAAATTTAATCGACCATAGTCAACTAATTTCTATTGGATCATCTTTATTATAAGAATTTATCTGAGGTTTGATTATTTTTAAAATCTTTTATGTATTTTAGATATATGACCTGTACAACATAATAATCTTTTTTATATTTGAAGGTTTTGTGTAGTAACAGTTTGCCTAGATTCTTCATCAGTGTGTTTCTTCTCTGCATCTGAGTTGGTTTTGTGCCAAAAATACATCTAAGGATTGTGCATCACATGTTGCTTTTGTCATCTTAATGATGACCACATTGCATTGTATTTTTCTTTGTACCTTGATTTTCTGAGTTGAAACCCTCTACTCTTTAATGTGCATTTACTCTAGAGATGCCTTGTGCTTGTATCTCTGCTGTTTCACAAGAATTGTCTATCTAAACAGGCCCAAGTTCATTTGTATATTAGTTCTGAGGTTAGAATATAGGGCTGAAAATTACAAGAGCCATGTTTCAGTTCAAGGAGTTGGGAAAGTGAATATTGTAAACTCACTAAGAGGGAAGTTCTTTAAAATACTTTTTTTAAAAAAAAGCTAAGAATGTGGGGCTCTTTAGCTTTAGTCAACACTGAATAAAAATATATTATTCTTCTAATAGTTTGAAAAGTTTTCAACTTGTTAATCAAGAAATGCAGAGAACCCAACTAAGTATATTTCCCTAATAAAGTTATAGTTGGCAACTCCAGAAGGTTTATTTGTCCATACACAAACTAATAAAATAGATTACAAGCTAGAAAACCTTTCTGTGTATAGCCTGTTAAAAAGGTTTGCTTTTAATTTCTTTTGAAATGTTCAACATAAAAAAGAAAGTTAGAAACAGGTTCTTTTATATGTGTAAGGATTTTGAGATAGAAAATTTTGGCATGATTCTGACAAAGATTTCTGCAGGAAAGGCCAAGTTCAAATTGTGTCATTTTGATTTTTACTTCTTGTTGAAATGACAAAGTTTATTCTTGCCTTTGATGATTTAAAGTGTCTTATATCTTTTATAGTTTTGTGTGTAATATTTTTAGAATCCCAAAAGACATTTGAAAGCTTTTGGAAAATCTAGAGACTTTTAATTATCCATTATTTTTAACTTCTTAAAAGTCTCTATCTGTAGATTAATTTGATTGCCAGAATTAAATAATATTATATCAAATTATATATTATAATATTATATCAAATAGCGAATAGGAGAGTATTTAAGAATTCCAGAGGCTACAAATAAAGAGAAAAACCTGATTCAAATAAATTTGAAGGCAATGATAAAACACTGCTTTAATTTTTTTTAAATATCTTAACTAGTTATGGCCTTGCTCAGTTCAATTAAAACTGGAGAGCTATAGTGAAAAACTTCTTCATTAGACACAGCTACTAAAAGCAGATTTATAACCTATTTGCTCTATTTTGGACTGAACTAAATATGGAAAACAAGTGGAAATAAAAAGGAAGAAGTTTGTCATTTTTTTTTTTAAATAAGAGGTGGGCATAAAAACTGCTAATCCTGAATATGAAATGTAACAATTATTGTTTGCACTAACTGAATTTAGAGAAAATGATTTTGGCAACTTCTTTGACAATTCAGCATTTTTTTAGCATTTTGGTTGGAGCCAAAGAAAAAGAAACAATAAAAAGGAAAGTGCTATTTTCCTTAGTTTATATCTGTTGACAATAAATAAAATTCTTAGTTTGGTCAGTTGGGCAGGTGTTCATTTGAGAAAAGAATCTTCTCATTGCTGTCATTTTATTGAACTCATAAATCTTGAACTGTCAGCAAACTCAGGGACTACACTTTTCCTATGTTGTTATGTCTACTTGGCAATTGGTCGTATTTTCATTTCTGTCCTTCTTAGTTGCTCGTGTTTCCACTCATTCCAAGAAATTCCTCGATAGCTGACATTAGATTTATTATAGTAAGGTCCATTCAGAATGGTAAACCAGCAGTTTGTAAACCACCATCCAGCTTCCCATTCCTTGGCACAATGGTATTGACTCCATTTGTCATTGTCTTTGTCTGGCGTACTAAACATGAGTCCATTGTGTTTTCCAAAGCTGTCTTTTGCACTGCCTTTATAGTCACCAATATGAAGTTTATAGTTGTCTCTTTCTCCTTCTATTTTGAAGTTCTGGTAGATAGCATAGACACGGTTGCCTTCAAAGTCCCACAAGTCAACACGCAGTTCATAACGGTCTTGGTTTGTTAGTAAGAAGATATTGTCATTTCCAAGCCAAAACTCTCGAATCACATCACCAAAGCCATTTTTGTAATTCATCCAGTCTTGATTGAAAGGGAGTTTTCCATCGATTCGTCTTTGTATCATGAGCCAACCTTTTGGAGGTGTGTCCATATCACACCACACAGGGATTGGACAAGAGGAATAGGTTGGTTTCACATAGTAAACACTGCTATCTTTATGCCCTTGGTTGGAAACATCAGCACAATCTAAAAGTAAAAAGAAAGCAAATTATGAAATATATTAAAAAAAAAATCTATTAAAAATTGAACAAAACCAATCCCATAGTTATTAAACTGACAATAAATTGTGTAAAGAAATTGTAGCTTAATTACTTGCTTTAAAATTGTCCAAAAATCTTTCAACGGCAAAAAGAAAGTGTATATCTATATAGTCTTCCTTAGGTATGTTCAATACTTTGCTAAAAAAGAGCATACCCTGATAAACCCCCTCCCCCCAAAAAAACCCAAAATTGATTAAACAATTTTTTATCATCTAAATGTTTATGTTATTATTAAGAAGAAAGACCGAGGTATTTTTGAATATCTTTTTAATTTTTTAATCCTTTCTAGTACATCCAAAATTTTAGTTAAAAATCTTGTTTTTTTGAGTCATCAAAATTTACATAAAATCGATAATGTCAGCCATTTTTGACAGTTTTGTAAACAAAAGTGAAATTCTGTTTAAAAATCTTGTAAAATTCAATTATACTTTTTCAAAAGTTATTTTAGGAAAATTAGAAAATTTAAAAAATACTTAATGAAATTTGAAACAAACATAATTTTTTAGCAGAAAAAATTTAGTTGGAATAAGAGAAGCATGTTTAACCATTTTGGAGGTGTGAATTGATGTTTACGTCAATGTATCGACAACTAACGTCAAGGCAATTTACCAGACGGAAGGGCAGAAGTGACAGTATTTTCAAATTTTAAGTGAACCAGCTTATATAACTATACACAAATTCTTAAAAATTAAATACTTTCAAAATTTTATTGATTTTTTTTTTTTTATATTTTTTATGAATATATGTCTCTCACTGTAAAAGAAATATTAAAAAATGAAAAGAAAATTAAAAATTTTGAAAATGTGACGATGATGGTTGGTCAGTCAGAAGAACTTGATACAAAATCAACGCAATTTATGAGGCTGGATCCTTACTATCAGGAGAAACAACTCTTAAAACACAGGATATTATTGCTGAATTGTGCCTCCATAGTTATACTGTAAACATTTTTAATACATTTTTTGGCATATTAAAAAAATTATTGTAAAAATAGTTTGCTTCGCAGATTGTAATAAGCTTTCAAATTTATGATCTTTAAAAATAGATCTTTTAATAAGAGCATTTCCAGAGATGCTCATATTCAAACTTAATTTTAAAATATTTAACAACTTTATCTCATTTTGTTTTAACTTTATCACATTTTGTATTTACAATTGAAAAAAAAGAAAACAGTTTTTGTAAAAATTCATTTTCATCGAAAAAATATTTTGGTTTCAGACAAAAATGTCCTTAATATATATTATTTATAGAAGTCATTAAATGTTTTTTTTTAATTAAATAATGTCTTAGTTTTATTGGATTTTGTATTTTACAATTCCGAGCTAAAGTTTGGGTAGAAACACTCCTCAATTTACAAAAAAAAATCAATGATTTATATTCTTCAAAGCCTTCTGCATTTAATTAAAAAATTACAGAGATGCTCATATTTGAGTTTTCAAGTTTTTATAAAATTAAGTGGGGTATAACAGATGTAAAAAAAAAAAATATTTTTAACATAACTTTTTAAAAAAACAAACATTTTTCAAATAATTTCATTCATTTTTGAATAAGTTCTGAAAGTTTCATTAAAATCTGACAATTATTTGATTTTTCAAAGAATTTCCAAATTAATGTTTTTCAACTGAAAAAAGCACTATAAAAAAACTATGCTAAATATTATGCTGACGTTAAAAAAAAACGATTTTCAACCAAAATTTCAAACATGCTAGAAAGGAATAAAAAAAATTAAGAAAATTAAAATTTAAAAAAAATAATTAAAAAATATGCTGGTCTTTTCTCTTAATAATAACAAACTTCTTCACAATAAAACTTTGTTTTTATTATGTTTGGGGCCTTTTTTCATCATGCTATGCAGTGTTTTTTGGCAAATTATTGAATGTATCTATAATCTTCCTTGTTTATGTATTATGTTTTAACATTCTGACTTGCTCTTCCACAAGAAAGAAAATGATAGTTGAATTAATTCATAAAGGCAGGCATGAAAATAATTTATATATAAATAAAAGCCTTTTTTGTCAAGGATGTGTAGTTTCTAATTTAATGTTAATGGAGCATTTTATTACCCATAAAATTGTGACAGCCAGGTGAGAACATTGTTTTAATTTGAGTTAAGATTTTTCAACTGAAACCTTTCTGGTTTTCGATTTTAAGACAATATTGTTTATATTATTTTTATTATTAATGTCTGGTAATATTTTTGCATCAATGTCTTTACATTTTTTTTGTAGAGTCTATCATCTGCAAACTACCTTCTTTCATTCTTTATTCTGAATTCTTTGTCTTCATTCTTTTTCATTCAGTTGTTTTTTATTTTCATGCTTCTCTCTTCCTTTCTTTGTCTGCCTCCATTTTACTCTTTTTTGAACTAAACTGTCATATTCATTCATTCATTCTTTTTTTTTGTCACCTCCTTTCTTGCCATTTTCTACCACATAGTCCTGTTTCTTGCCCTGTAATCTCCCTTTCATTTTTCGTTGTTATCTTTCTCTTCCTTTTCTACTACCACCCACATCTTTCTCTCTCTCTTCTTGATTTTTAAACTTTTCCTTCTCTTCTATGTACAAAATAGACACATTGTGAAAAAAACAGGTTTTCTTTTTATAAAATTTTTTTTTTCAAGTTGACACATTTCATTTCATGGTATTTGATACATACTATTTTCTGTCTCTTAAACATTGCTTCAATTTACATGATTTTCAGATTCTTTTCTAAAAATCAATTCAAAGATAGAAACCAAAATCCTTGTAAAAATAAATATAACCCTCTTTGAGAAATGGGTAATAAGAGTTAAATGTAATTATGTGACAAACTAAACCAAATTCTTATGGAAATAAGTTTTGCTCCTTTTGGAGAATGGGAGTCAAAGGTCATCATGTGACAAACTAAACCAAATCTCTGTAGCTCACTTTTGGTTGGGGGTGGGGAATGGGAGCCAGAAGTAAACATGTCACAAACTAAACCTCTGTAGAAATAATACCTATTTCCTTTTTGGAGTGGTAATGGGAGTCAAAGTAACAAACCAAATCAGTTAACAAAGTTTTACTTAAGGAATGTTAACAGACTGCTAGTAAAGTGGTGGTGGTAGTTGAATCGGGTTGAATCCCCATTCACATGCACCCAAACCCAGAAACAACACAGCAGAGTACTTATTGACTTGGTTATTCCTTAAAATGTGAATTTTTGTTGGTTTGTGTTTTTCTCCTTAAAATTATCTGTGTTTTTGTGTGGGCAGATTAGATGAATTTTGGTTTTTGTATAATAAACATTTTTGAAATAGAGAAATAAAGTATAGCAAGTTTATGTTTATTTTATTTTTTTTTATAAAAGTAAAATGAAAATTTGTAAGAAAAGAGTTAGAATTGGGAGTGTGTGGAATTGGAGGAAAACTGATTCTCTTTAATGTAGTTTTCAGGTCAGTTTTTATGAAATACATTTTTTGCTGACCAAGAAAATCTGAATGAAGAAGATAGCCATGAAAAGAAAGTGTGTGCCAAGGAAGATAGGATACGAGAAGTGTAGAAAGACAGGAAAGGAAGAAGAGGGGGAAAAGAAGGGATAAAAAAAGGAGAGAGAGAGAGAGAGAGAAGAGACTAGTAGAATTAAGTGAAAGAGTAGCTGATAGTGTTGAGAAGAAAAGTGAAGGAAAGCAAGATTTGACAAAAAGAAAGGAATGAATCAGTGAGAGAGAAGCAATTAAGAAAAGAGTAAAGAAAAAATTGTAGGAGTGAAATAGGGAAGGAAGGAAAAGAGATGGAGAGAATAAATGAAGAAAATAGTGGGTAGAGGAGATAAGTTTTGGTTTAATAGCTTGAGTTCTTTTACCAGGAAAAATTTATGATCAGAGAAGAATGTCTGCAAGCAGCACTTTTTTGATTAACCTCAAAGTTGTCCAGACACACACACATGTTTTGTATTACATCTCACATACACCCTTTTATGTAATTGCATAAGAAATGCTGTCAATTTGTTTTCTTTTCAATCATATACATACATTTTTTACAAACAGAAAATGTGTAGGTATAGGAAATAAAAGTTATTTGGAAATGTATATTTATAGACACTCTTAATCATCTTTACAAAGAGAAGAGTTTTAATATTTGGATATATGTATTCCTAAATTTTCTGCATAGTAAAGCAAAATCTAAATGCATGCATAAGAGGTAGCCAACAAATCAAGATGGATCAAATATTTTTTTTAGAAATTAAAATACAAATACTTCTCACAATTATTGATGTAATATAATTGAAAGTACAAATATAAATACAAGTAATTTTATTCTAGATTCCAAAAATACAAATGCAAATATTTTGAAACAAGGTAAAAATCTACATCTAAATGCTTTTTCACATAAATACAAAAGCTCTGTAAAAGTATTTAAATACAATTCAAATATATTTTTAATTGATCTGCCACTACCAACAAGCACTATGCATTGACAAAACCTGAATTAAAAGATGTCAAGACTAGAGCAATTCATTTCATCTATTTTGAATTTGTAAATCTGAGACAAACAACCAAGCTTGGTGGGCAAAAATTTGTCAATAACACCACCCACATTCATATGTCCAAATTCTTCATTTTCAATACTTAATAAAGCCAAATTGCTTAACCATTCCTGACCTATTGTGCTTTGAAGATAGGTTTTTATTAATTTTAGTTTACTGAAAGAGCACTCACAAGACACTACAGAGACAGCACCAGCCAACAGTATGCTAACTGCTATTTGTAAGTTGGGGGAACACATTATTGCTGTAAGATATTGTGAATTTGAAAAGCTTGATTGAGGTTTTTGGATTGATGAAGGCACTGTCTTTTCTTTTTTGTATTAACATTCAGCAGCCTGTAATTTTGTGACTCCATCAAAATCACCTTTGTATGCTGCAGCAGCTACTTCATTTGAGTCATCATTTGACTCTGGAACAATA